GTTTTATCTCTATCAAAAAGACATATATCCAATTCATATCCTCATCACCTAGTACTCAAAACGGCAAGACTTACAGACTTAACTACTGAACCAAGTCCATGCACAAAGAGGGATTGTTCATGTGGGGAAGAATATTGAAGTAGGAAGAAAGAACCATAGATAGTGGAGTTAGTAAGCGAAAGAAGAAGAAAAAAGAGTGCAACATATGCGTTTGTGTGGTTGACTTGGTTGCAATAATTGCAAAGGAAGTGGGATTTTCGTATGGCAATGGGAATGGATTATTGGGGCTGGCCATGTGACCCTTTTGTGGCTGTGCATGTATTTGATCTTTTCGATGGTATCCGCAGCAAATGCAAATGTCCCTGATGACGACGGATTCATCAAGTAATACACTGTCGCGTTTCGATAGTGGAGAATCTCTCGTTACTTTTAGGGCACAACCACATTTCCAAGTTACTACATCCCATTACTTTCCTTTCACAGCATTCAGGAAAAAGGTTACTTACTATCTTCATACCACAAGCAGTGGTAAGATTACAATGTGTGTTCATATAGTTAGAAAAGTGATATATGGAGCTAGTAGTCACGGATCATCTTCTAACATTTTAGATTCAATTATGGGAAGTTGTTGCATCAGCCACTCCTCACTCTAAATCCTAGTTTCGCCACTAACCACAAGACATCAGTACATGGCCGATTCTCTGTGCTGGCTAGGAATTGTCGACAATTATCGGTTATGGCCGGGTAGGGATGACAATTACGACCTGACCCGTTTTACCCGACTGGTTTGACCTGTTTTGGGGCAGGTACTACTCGTCCTGTACGCCGGGCGAGGCGGGCATGGGTAATCGAGTCGACCTGACCCATTATCCACTCATTTATGTCTAAATTACATGTAATTTTATGCAAACTACTTAGGATTTTACTTTTTTTACCTTATGTTTTGCCTATAATAAAGTTTAAATATGTAAGAATCTCAATTTCTCAAATAATTTAACTACACTTATCATGTTTTATTATGTTTCTTGATTTTTTCATTAAAAATCAACATTCCCGCGAAAAAAAGCTTATCTAGTGGTACAATCACTGGTCTTCAATCTGGAGGTCTCAGGTTTGAATATCATAAATAACACTTAATAGTAAAAAAACAAATGTATATCACCCTTATCTAAATAAAAAATATCAAAATTTCTAATATTTTTCGTTTAATTTACTTACTCGTATGGGTTGACCTGCCATAACTCACAACCCATGATAAATTACCCTATTTGCCATGAAACGGATATGGATATTGAGATATCCACTCGACCTGTGCCAATGCTATTCCTACTTATGTGATTCAGAAAGCTTTATTTCAAGGGAAATTAGTTTGAAATTTTTGGGTACTTTAAATGGTGTCTGCATACTTATTATCATTTTGATCAACTTATCAAAACACTCTTGATACGATCCACTCGATATGACCCTTTTGTTTCCTTGTTTTGCTAGAAGGGGTTCAAATTCAGACCATTCTGTGTTTTCTTGGTGGTTAAACTTGAACCATATGGTGGTGAACTAGTAGTGCATGCAAGATCTGTCCTCCCTCTTAAAATTGTGGGCTATAGCTGATGATGTGTGGTTCATTCCTCTTGGCTGAAGATGAATGTAGGTGGATGTCGCAGTCTATGCCACAAATGGTGGTGCTGGTATGGCGCCATGCCATTAGTCTCCCTCGTCAGTAGCTAGCTATTCTCTAATTTGTTTGTCAGAATTGATGAGAGGCACGTTTATGGTACATGTTATAAAAGCGCTGCTACGGATCGAGAAATCGTCGGAATCGATAAAGCAAGAATACGAAAGCGAGAATCGGAAAAAAAAAACACAGACACGCGATTTACGTGATTTACTAACACGATGTGTGTTAGCTATGTCCACGGGCGAGAGAGAGCCAGTTTCACTATATCGAGGAGATTACAGATTACAGAGAAGTATGAGAAATATTTATAGTACTTTTCCATGTGGGTCTAAACCTAATCCAATCTGACAAAGGAAACGGTTACAGACCAGGCCCAGAACCCGAACCCAAATAACAGCGAGACCTCCGATTACCAGTCGTAACGGCTGATAGTTCGATTCAAGTCACATCAACAGTACATTTTCCATCTAGCGAGAACTTTTTATGTTTCATGACGCCACGAGTTGATGTCGCAATTAGAGGCATAAAAGAATGGTCATCGTGCTCATTTTATGTACAACCATTAATTTCAAAATAGTTATCCATCTGTATTATTAACCATTACTATAGGAGTGACACAAGGTGTGTATTATGGTTCTTTTTTAAATGGCTCAGCACAAAACAATTAACCAAAAAATATTTCAGGTCTGGTTCCGCACATCATCAATAAGGGTCGAATAGTCACTCTTTTGAAAAGGGTAGTAGTTTAAATGGCTAAATATGTGAGTTGCAGTTTGATGGTCAGATAGAGGTGGCAATTGGATCGGATTCGTGGATTGGATTGGTGGATCCATAGATTAAATAGATTGGATCCAATGGATTGGTGGATTCATGGATTGGTGGATTGATCCATGAATCCAATTGACATCCAATGCTTGGACCAAAATGTAAACTTTGAAAAGTTTTGGTACTAAAATGTCATAATGAAAAATTTTAGGTAACAAAATATAATTTTCCAAAGATATTTTTCGATAAATTTTAGGTACCAAAATGTAAAATATAAAAATATAAGTACAAAATCGTAATTTTCCATTTGGATCCATGGATTGATCCATGAATCCACAAATCCAATTGGATTTGGATCAAATGGATTGGATTTAAATGGATTGAATTAGGTGGATAATTAGGTGGATTGATTGGATTGATTCATGGATTTGGATCTTAATTGGCACATTTATTGTCAGATCATACGAAGGTAAGAGGTTCGAAAAATCATGAGCAATGTGATTATTAAACTCTCATATTAAGCTATGTACGGTAGTTTGGGCACAATTTTCGAGAGATACGAAGGATAAAAGGATAACCAGGACAGACATATAGAGAGAGAAATTTGAGACTACAAACCCTAACTAGTAACTAGGTTATTCTCTTTGCCACCTCCAACCCTTCTTCCCTCTATTCTCTGTGTCGTCTCTTACTCTCCTTCTTTTCCATAAACAAAACCAAGCCAAGGAAAACACGCACAAAACTAATCCTAATTTTTCATTTATTTACTCGATTTGATTTGACTTCACCTTTCCCTATTCGATCTAACGACGAGAATGAAATGACGTCAATGGTTTGTCCCGACCCTAAAGCTCATTAAAAAATTAGATATAAAAAATTTGTGACATTAAGTCGAATTTCACGACATTGACATCATACACAATTTATGATGACTTCATACATTAATTCGAGATCATTATTGCTATTCATTATTCAATATGAAATGCAACCACGCCCATCTCCTCATACTGTAAACAAAAAAACTATACTCGTGTTTTTCGTCAAAGCTTCCATCAAGTCTCGCCCTTTTGCATGTTTAAGGCTTATAGACGATGAAGATGTGTGACATATAGTTGGCTAACTTGAAAAGAAAATTGCTTTGAGGTAGACTATGAATGTATGTTAGAATTATCTTAAAATAAGAAAATGTTTATCAACAATACAAAAAACTTATATGTATTATTCATATATTTTCCTCCGAAATTAAATTAGCGACACATCAAACATATATATTTTTATCAAAGTAGGTGGTCGATCTTATATATCATATTTGTTGGGTGTTCTAGATAAATCACGTATCCAACTATCCATTATTTATTATAACTTGTATGGTTAGTCCCAGATATGGTATTAGTACCAATGTACCATCACCCTTGAATCATGACTTTGCGGAAGAAACTCATTGGTGGTATACCTTCTTCGAATAAACATACTTCGTTGCATAAATGAAGGCCCAATTTATCACGTAGGACAAATGTGTCCAACCAGAGGGCCCAAACAAATGTCTCTTGAAAATGGAAAGTTCACTTTAATTTCACACATTTCTAACTGGACTATTTGTACGTCCGTCGATGAAGGCCCAACTCCTTAAGCTTCAACAGGATAACCCTTAGAAACCAAATCCTCTAACACCAATTATTCAAGTTTCACGGACTATCAGGTGCATAATTCATTTAAGATGACAGGGCTGTAAACGAACCGAATCGAGTCGAGTCGAGTTTTTGCTTAGTTTGAATTTGGTTCGTTTATAAAAATTTTAGCTCGAGCTCGACTCGAACTCGAATTTTGATCATCCAGCTCGAGCTCGACTCGATTAAAAATAATCCAGCTCGAGCTCAGTAAAAGCTCATTAACACAGCTTGTCAAGTTGAGTACAAGCTCGGCTCAAGATAAGCTCGATTTGAAATCATTCTTGCTGAAAAATGTGTACAAATAAAAACATTAGAAATTAAAAATGATAAAAAGAACACTAGAAACTAAAAATAACATCTAACTTCCATACGCATCCTTATTAACAAGATAATTTTCATCTTTTGTATCTAGCTGTTTTCTTGGTAATACGAGTGATCTTTTGACAAAAAAAAAAAGATAATTTTCATGTTCAGAAGAGTAATTAATCTTGGAAATACTTGGCTGCAACCTAGGTAGCAGCCAACTCCTGCTACCCCTCCACGTGTTATCTTCTCATTGGTCATTTTCTTTTGTTTTCTTTCACCGTCAAAAAGCTTTAGAAATTAGAACCCATTTAATATATCCTTATTAAAGGGTAATGCTATTGATCCATGATAATTCATTTACTTAATTATGAATAATTTATTTTTACATCCTATGTAAAGTAGTTTGTAAGCAAATGTGGTTCTTCTGTGCCGTGATAGATATGCAGTCTGAAGAAACAACATTATTATCTACGTATGGATGGGGACCAAATGTGTGGGAATTGGGATAGATTTGTTAGAGAACATTCAGGTTTGTCCCGATGACCTGCTCCCTTTACTTATCCATTATTTCATAAATCAATTGGTATCAATAATTCAAATTATTAGAAAAAGTTAATTATAGATCTTATATCACTTTCTAACATGTCCCCTCAAACAAAAGTCGGGAGAATGTTAATTATGGATCTTATACCATTATCTAACACTGTGACACCAACGAAAGCTAACTCATGAGCTAAGTTTACATAGACTCACCATATATTGTACTTTAATCAAGGGTTAATGTTGGAGGTCATGAAAATTCGAACACACAACCACTTGGCCAAACTTACTCTGATATCATATCATAAACTAGTTGATCTCACTAACTCGAATTATTGAAAAAAATTAATTATAAATGTTATATCACTATCTAACACACTAATTTGTCAAAATTTTGTTTCTTCATTGGGTGGACGTGGGTGATTATGTTCAGCGCTGCGGGTCTCTTTCATCTTACTAGCTACTAGCATTAACCTTTCAAAATGAAAATTAAACGAAAATTCAAATGGGTTCTCAAGCTTTTGGACAGTGATTTTTTTTTTAAATGCGCCAATGAGGAGATAACGTGTGGACGGGTAGCAGGGGCGGGCTGCTCCCTAGGTTGCCGCTAAGTTGCCGCTAAGTATTACCCAATTAATCATTCCACAAGCTTTAAACAAGCCAGCTTGCGAGCTTAGCTCAACAAGCCATCGAGTCAAGCTAGCTCACGAGCTTATCAAGTCGAGTATGGCCTAGCTCAAGCTTGGCTCGTTTACTAACGAGCAGACTCGCGAGCCGGCTTGTTAAACAACAAGTCGAGTGTCGAACGAGTTTTTTCCGATTTGAACGCCGAATTGCTCGCAAGCGGTTTGGCTCATTTGCAGCCCTAAAGATGAGTGGTGAAATCGTAAAAATTATTATCTTATTGGACTGACACATATGTCTCAGGAGATATTTCAAACTATTGTCAATACTTAAATCGGCGATTATAAATGTCAAAGTGGATCGATAAGGTTTAGAGGAAATCATTATCATCAACATGTTTAGTTTAATGTCAGTGTTGAGTTTAGACTTTAGTTAAGGGTTAATATATTTGCATGGCCCGAACTTTTCACAAATTATACATACTGACCAATTTTTTCTATCTATAACATCGTGGTCTCAACTATGTATCGAAGTTACTAAATTGGCCAAACCCGAGATCTTACTGTTATTTTGGACGGTCAAATGCGTTGACTAATGGTCAACGCGCCATGACACTTCCAAGTCACCAAATTTTTGGTTTTTCCACCTATTACCATTTAACTTTTTTATTTTGATAAAACGTTATAGTAGAGGGGCATATTATACCTATAACCCTTAATTAAACCATAATTGTCAATTAATCTAATACAATTTTCAGTACAATTACACAATGTGTTGAACAGTACATGAAAGATATCGAAGGGATTTTGCCCTCTATAATTTTTACAGTGTCATCCCAATTACTAGATTCACTGAAACAGTGACTCCAAAAGCAATAAATGATTACAAGTTTACAACAACCAATCGTACGGGATGAAAAAAAGCTCTATAGTTTATGCACACATACACAGAAGAAAGTAAAATTAGCAAAAGAAAACAGTGAACACACCACCTACTTGACTGGAAAAACACCAATGGCCAAACTTCATTTGCAGTCTCTCCATCACTCTCCACACCTTCGACATCACAGTAATTTTCTCCATTTCAATTCGATTATTAAACATACAAAGATTACCGCTGATCATCATAAAACGAGGAAACTTGCAATCCAACCAACCACTTAAGCAGTTACGCAAATGTATCGTATGCATCATAACCAAATTGCATCCTTGTGTTCCTATCTATGCTTTTGAATCTGCATCGTCATACATCATCAGCCAAACAAATCATCATATTAGAGAATGATGGCAAATAAGGATTCAACCCATTAGTCTTGTTCCATTGAAAATACTCACATCAAAGCCGACAAGAGATCTGCAGTAATTTGTATTAGTGACCACGGTACTAGTAGTGGATCCACATTCGCTATTATCCAGCACCGAAACCGACGACCTGTCGAGCTTCATCGCCCACGGGAATTGGTAATTCTGACCGGCGGCTCCCACCTGCGACGACGACCGCTGCATCCGCACCGCACGCGGGACGTTCCTCCCTTCCCGCCGCCGGGTGCTGGGCTGCTCCGGCGGCCGAGCCTTGGGCGCGCTCTGGGACCGAACTTTACGCATCGAGCTCTCCGTGTTCGCCATGTAACTCGGGAACTGTGCGTGATCGTACGACACGGATTCCGGGTAATCCGGTCGGGGCAAGAACGGCGGGAGAACCGACGGGTCGGGTTTCGACACCGCCGAGGAGTAGTACTGCGGGCTGCTTTGTGCGGTGTCGATTGAGTAGTCGTCGAAATGACTGCTGCAAGCTCTGGGGCTCATCTCCGTTAACGCCGACGGCGTCGGCGACACCTGGAAATCCGATTTCGTGAATTGAATGGAGAATCTCCGATCTGTTCTTTCGGGTTGTGGTCGGGTGTGAGAGGAATAGCTGTTCCGGCTCTTTGTGCTTCCCTCTAAAGCTCCGAGATCCATTTCCACGATCTTGATGTTTTCCTCCGCGCCTCTGTTGGAATCCTGCAATGAAAGAAACAGAGGACCTATCAACTTTTCCCACTAATTGCTAAAAGAAAAAAAAGAAAAAAAACAGGGGAAGGGGATGAAGGTGACAATGCTTACGTAATTAATGTGTCTGTATCGATTCTCTTGGGTTGATTTCCTGTGTGAAGAAGAGTAGGGTCTCTGGCCACTGATGGGAGGCTTCCCGTCCTCCGCCGCCGCCGTTCTAATCCTCTGAGCTAGAGCTTTGGCCTGGAGGGTCACCAGTGCCTGCATACAGCGAAGCGTGGCGGTGGCCTGTTTCCTCACCAGATGGCCTCTCACCAATGCCTGCAGTTTCACCAATCCTTTCAGCGCTCGCAGTGCCTTGGTCGCCTGTACACATTGCTTGCTTAATCAGTTTCGGCAATAGAAAAAAAGAAATTCAGAGGTATTGAGTATTCAATTTCGATCTCGTACCAGGTAAGATCGGAACACGGATTGAATCATGACAGCGGCGGCCTCTTCAATTGCTCTCTTCCTTTCAGCAGTCAGTCGGATAACAGCAGCGGCAGCCTGTGCAGCAGCTACCGCAGCATCGGCCGCCGCAGCTGTAGCAGCAACCATGGCCATTGCGTGCTTCTTCTGCTCATTTTCCGAACCCAATCGAGCCGGCAGCGTTGCAGGGGCGGCGGGGACAGAAGGTGGCTCTACTGGATTGGCCATCGCTGTGGCAGATGACCTCCTGAAACTCCATCTCCGCTTCTCCTTAGGAGTAGTTGGTGGGTGAGAAATTGGAGTGGCGGCTGGATTCTCAACACTAGCAGTAGAATCCTGAGAGCTAATAACACCACTGTCTTTCTCTCTGTTGTTGTTATTATCTCCCTCCTTCTCTTTCTTCCCAGTCAAGAAATTCTTCAGCCATTTCCCAGTCTTCCCCATCTCTATCAAATGGAAATCTCTCCTATGGAGGGGGAAGAAACAATATCACAAGCAAACAAGGGTTACAATTAGAGAAAGCAACAAATGAAGGACTTGAAGGTAAACAATTTTTTTTGTGATTAGAAGTGTTTCAAGTAAGAACAGTAGGTAAAGAAGTAGCAAAATTAAAGCTCTGATCGTCCATTTTCATACAGATCCATCATGAAGAACATCTATTTTTACTTGTGCTGTGGCTTTTTTGTGTTGGGTTGGAATTACCAACCTGGACTGTGAGAAAGAGCTTCTTTTGACGGGTTTTCCGCTGCTTTCTGTCTACTTCTGCTCGCGTCCTCTTCTGTGTCTTTCGGAGCTGGAATTCTTAATTCTGCCTCTCTTTTTTTTCCCCCTCTCCACTCTATTAGATCAGCCGATTAACACTTCAAAAATGGAGGTGAATTGGAGAAGAAGAAGAAGAAGAAGAAGAAGAAGAGAATCGAACAGGAAAAGAACAGGGGAGAGAATACAGAGAGATGGAGAGAAATTGGGAAAATTGTTCAGTACCTTAAATCTCACGGTTTCAGGGAGAAGAATTGTTTTCAGTGGGACGGGCCATGTGGTGCTCTGCTCCCTCACCAGTCGACAAATTGGATTTTCAACTCATCTTCAATGAGAGTTGAACCGTTTACTATTTTCTCATTCCGTCGGAATATCGTTCTCATACTTGTCTTGATTATCGGAAAATCACTCGTCTTTTTTATTTTCGCGTTGGTGTTACTTTACAATAGAATGAAGTGTTTGATATCGACTATTATTGCTTTAATGTGCTAACAAATTAAAGTTGTGAGCGAAGTATACCATTTTCATCTCGGTCTCTCATTTGCGCTACACTAAATAACTGGATGGAACATGTGCAACGATACTATGAAGTTATGTGTTGGCAAATGTTCAACCTTAATAATACAACACTATAACTCAAATGGGTTGGCTTGTGGAAGTAGCAGTTGGGCCAGATTAAAAAAAAAAGCAAAGCAAAATAATTAGGCATTTAATTTGATGCATTATTTGCACCGCCATTTTCTGAAGGAGACCATAGTACTGTTATAATAATAAAAAAATTCGTTGAAATATTTTTAATATTTATCTAAAATTACAATACAAACCCTGCAGAAGAGACGAATGCTTGTAGACTGTAGTAGAAAACAAGTTGAGATTTCGTTATATAAATCTTGAATAATTGAAATGCATTCGTTGGAAAGCACGTGGTATGTTGATATGCTTCGCAATTTGACTAGGTCTGGATGTTTGGTCGATGGGAACACTATCTTGTTGGGACCTTTGTCTTTTCTTTCTCCCATCATCTTGATTTAGGATCACCTAAATAGTAATTAATCTACCGCCCAATCACCCTTCAAGTATATCATAATTTTGTAATAATTACAGTTCATTTATATTACAGAGACTTATAATTCATTAATGATTTACAATGATCCATGAACTGTTGTCATATTATGAAAAATATTCAAAATACATTTATCATTCTAACTACCAATGTCCTAAAAAAGCAAACTAATATTCGATATTTCGATTTGATGACCTCCGCTCATGGCAGTGGGAGAAGGTTAGAGGGTGAGTCCCGGGATGCACCATGACTCGGGAGATAAAATTATATATTAGGTATAATAGTTAATTGGGTATAAAAATAACACGTAATTAAATAAGAATGATTGACCTTTGAAATATTTTATATATGATTCATACGTTGTGTATTGGTATATTCAATGTGTTATAACGAGCTACGTACAAATGACAATAGCGCATATGATCCACCCGAAATTAAAGTTGTACTTATTCAATATCTACAAAAAAATTCCACCAAATCATAGCTAGTTTATAAAAATAATTATATTTTAATTAGAGATAGCGAGAGTGTAACGGGTGGCTCCAAAGGATGAAAATTAATAAATTAGTATAATAGTTAATTAAGAATGAAATTTATGGCACTTCTAATTAAATGGTTGATCTAGAGCTCATGTGTTCTGAATCTTGGTGACCCAATTTGTTAAGCACATGATATTCGGAATCGCGAAAATTTTAAGCACGTATAAGTTGGTTTTGGTTAGCAGGGAAGTGTTAGTAAATATTGAATACTATAAAATCCATTATTAAATCTAACCCAACAACTCGAATTATTGATGCTAAACGGTCTTGATAAAGAACATCATTCAAAAGAAAATATCTAAATAGAGCCTAAATAATTGCTTAATACATATGAAATGATACTATTGATAGTTTCAATATATATTTAATTTATCATATTTTTTGTAAATACAAAGTTAAATCATGAATGGTTTAAAAAAGCTAACAAACTATTTTATACTTTTTTTTTCTAAATGGACCCACCCTTGAAAAATTCCTGACTACGCCCTGCCTCCGCTAATGAAAAATATGATCACTTATTCTGATTTTCACTTAGATTAAATTTATTCCAATATCTCATTGTAATATACACCTCATAACTAACAAGCCTACAATTATATCTCAACTATCTCACTAATGATAATCTTCTCCTCGTTGGGGTTGTGCTGGTTTTGTCTCGCTCCAATTTTACCCTAAGGTAGAGTTTGGCTTCTTCTTGGCTACTCCCGTTGTTGGCGTTGGGCTAATAACGGTTTGAATGTTGATGATACTTCAGTGGCCTTTGCTGACTTGATCAAGAACGAAGTGAAACTTTATCTCCATATGTTTTGACTGATTGTGAAACACAGGATTATGCGCAAGGAATGTCGCGCCAAGATTGTCACACTAAAGAGCTGGAGCTGAAGGAATCGTCTGACCCAACTCATGAAGCAAAGTCTTTAACCAAAGAACCTCAGAGGCAAGGGTGGCAAGAGCACGATACTCACACTCGGTGGAAGAGCGAGTGACAGATTTTTGTTTTCGAGTGGACCAGGAAACCAAGTTCGAACTACAGAAAAACCGCGAACCCTGTTATGGATTTGCGATCTTTCGGACAAGAAGCCCAGGAAGCATCCGAATAGCCGTGAACATGAAGAGAGGTTGGTTCGGAAAATTCAGGCCCTCGATTAATAGTACCGCGGAGATAGCGTAAAATTCGCTTGACTGCTTCCCAATGGTTGTCGGTGGGAGAGTGCTGAAACTGAGAAACATGATTGACAGCAAAGGATATATCCGGCCGAGTGAAGCTGAGATACTGTAACCCGCCAACAATGCTGCGATACATAGCTGGATCAGAAAATGGTGGAGAAGAGTCCAAGGCCGACTGATGGATGATATCAATTGTTGACGGAGTAGAGATGGCATTGGCAGCAGACATGTGAGCACGATCGAGCAGATCCTGAATAAACTTGCGCTGACTGAGGATGAGGCCAGTAGAGGATCGGTGTACCTCAATGTCGTGAAAGTATGATAAGGACCCCAATTCCCTTAGTGCAAAATTGTCATGAAGAAAGGCAAACAACCGCTGAATGAGAGCAGAATCATTTCCTGTGATGACGATGTCATCAACATATACTAGCATGTACAATCGAGTGACTGATACTGATGTAATTGCACATGTTTGCACCCCTAGTTCTTATCTGTTTGCGGGGCGTAGTCGTGTATTTTTGGCCTATTTTACGCCGGTTTGTGCTACTTTGTCATATTTCAGGTCCTAGACGTCGAAGGAAAGGCTAAGCATGAGTTTCGGGGCATTTGGAAGTCATTCGGTCGAGCTAGGGCCAAAGCACGGGCTGGCCTAAACCAAAGCACGACCGTGTTCCTGGACCGTGTTTTTACTGCCGAGGCTTGATCCAAGATTTTCCTGCGCTGGCCCAAAACACGGGCGGGAGTGACTCAAAACACGGCCGTGTCCAACTTTAGGCACGACCGTGTTTTCCCCAAGATGTGGGCGTGTTTTTAACACATGGCAAGGGCACGGGCGGGCAAAAGCAAAGCACGGCCGTGCCCTCGACCGTGTTTTTCACAAGGTCGTCCTTTTTAGGTAGATTTGAGCCAAATGAGAGGGGGTTCCGAGTTTAGAGAGACAGAGCGATACCTAGAGAGAGAAAGTGACGAAACTGAGTCTTCAAGTGTCTTTGATCGATCTCCATCACCACGGGAGCCCGGCTTGAGCTTGGAGAAGATCTGATTGAGCGCCAGAAGCAGATTATCATCCTTCACGGTATGGTTTCCGCATCTGAGCTAGATTTTCCATCTCTCTCTATGGAGTAGTTTTCTTATTCATCTGGGTATGGAGAACCCTAGATTTGTATGTTAGGTCTGATTGTATGAACCCAAGTACAGATTCTATGATTTGATTATATTCAATTGAGGTTTGAATGATTGAATGGCATGAATCCTTATCAAATTCCTGTTATTTCTGCTTTAGCCTAGAAAGAGAATATCTGCCTAGGTTGATAGAGCACCCTTAATTGAAGGTAGTGAATTGGCGACTTTAGTCGAGGAGCCAATTCACTATTCTGTACCGAATTTACTTAGGTAGTGGAGGTTTGGTTCGTTAGGGCCTCAATCTGTTTACTCTGGTGGAGGTTAGTCGCCCGCTGGGGACACAGATTGAGAGGGTCTGGAGACCTTTAGTCGAGACTTCAGACTGCTTAAGAACCTCCCGCAGTATAACTATCATTAAAACAGAACCTGGTAAATTGCAATCCGCCTTAACTGCAGTCTAGGGGGAACCATATCCGGGTGACCTCTCTCGACTTGAAAACAACCGTTTAATTGCTTGCTTGTTTGCTTGTTTGAACCTGCACTAAAGTTTCATTGCTAAATAATAAGAATTCGTTGAGTAGTCATCCCATCTAGGACCCGGGTTGACATTAAAACCCAAACCCACTATACTACGCTTTAGGAAGTGGTTACACTTGGCCATTTTCTAGATTGACAGTAGGATCGAGTCAAGTTTTTGGCGCCGTTGCCAGGGACTTTCTAGATTATTAGGAAAGACAGAAGTTTGTTACTTTAGCGTTTTTCTTTTCTTTTCCACCCTTGCTTTTCACTTGGGTGTTTTTGTTTTTGTTGGTGCATATCTGAATCATGGATCCTCATGGCTTCTTCAACCATTGGGGGTATCCATCACCGTCCAAGTGGTATTACCCCGAGAACCCCTGGAGCAATCAAGGAGGAGAAGACTATGGATTTGGGTTCCAGTACCAACCCCCTTACTACAGTGAACAATCAGACCCCTGGGCATACCAAAAACAACCTCATTATCAAGAAGAATTTCTCCCACAACCAGAAGGGCCATCGGAGCTGGAGTTACCCATGGCGACCTTCACGGGCAATTCTGCAGAGCCATGCTACACTCCACAGCCAGATCCAAATTATGAATTGAGGCTTCTCATGGAGCAGTTTGCTCGAGACAGTGAGAGATCATGGTCAAGGATGGATCTTTGTACCCAAGCCTATCGTGAAACAGAGGAGATCCTCCTGAGCATTAAGAAGAGCGTCGATGATCTTGAGCGATCTTATGCACAACCTGCTCCAGATCACCCTTCTGCTACCATACTAGAAGAGGTGGGGGAAGAAGAAGGCCACAAGGACATTGTGGAGCACACTGAAGTTGTCACGAAGAGCTCCCGTGATGATCATGATCAGAAATGTCCTGTCGTAGCCGACCACACCTTCCCACACCCCAAACTGAGCTTTGAAGAGGCGGGCATGAGTGAGGAGATGCAAGAAGATCTCATGAAAGAAACTGCTTGGCAACTTGCTCTCCAATCCGTGCTAGAAGAAAAAGAGAGAGAAAGGGTGCAGAGTTACATGTGATGAGGCCTGCACCGGCCATGAGTTACATGTGATATCTCCACCAAACTTCGAGGAACTACATAGCAAGGACCCATTTGCAGTGTCTCTTTGCCAGACCAAGGCCACTTCGACATCGGTCCCTCTTGGTGGACGCGATGGTGGTCAATCGATGTTGTCATATCTTGTTTGGGGCAATGAGACGAGAGAAGAGAATAAGAGGTCTCGAGGGTGGAGACGTTATCTGCATCAAGTGCACGAGCTTCTATCACCTGTCATACCACATGTTCGTGACTTGAGACTCCACCTCATCGACGAGAACCTCAACTTCAAGGAGATTTTGGGGTGGGCCGAAACTTAGAAGCCATCGTCCGGCTCACGACGTGAAAAAAGCGCTTGTTGGGAGGCAGCCCAACCAGTCAGTTTGCATTTCTTTCTCTTTTTCTCCTCGGTTGAGTCAGTTTTGTTATTTGATTTTAGAGTCAATAACTCAACCTTTGTGAGATTTTGTGTGGTGTTTGTGTTTCGACTACTCTCTCCTCCTGGAATGCACCGCCTGCCTCGTCCACCGTCATTCACCCTTGATCTGGTAACTTCGTTCTACCCTCCTTATCTTTCCTCCATTGAGGACAATGTCGTGCTTAAGTGTGGGGGGATGTTCGATTATGTATGCAGGTGAATGTTTGGTTGTTTGTGTGCTTGGAGCCTAGTCCACTGTCCAAATTTCGATTTGAGGGCTCCAAGTACGTGTTTCCTTGCAAATTGCCTGCTCAATATGCTTTGAATTGATAGTCTCTATAGTAATGTGCAACCTATGGAGGTAGTGTAGCACTATGGAGGATGTTGAAGTATAAGATTTTTCCTATCTAGCTCTCTGCTGTGCCAGTTGATTTTGTGAATTAGTGGAGCTAAGACCGTTGAATTCATGTGGTAATGGTGACTCTGTTTGGATTGTGTTATGTACTCGTGTATCGAACAGGGTGCTCATGTGAAAAATGAAAAGCAGTTGGTCCTCCATGTCGAAATCATTAAATCTTAAACATGGGGTAAGCCCAACGTGTGTGGCACCGTTCATTCCACAAAATCGGGTTTTGGAAGAGATTTTAGTGATCCTTAGTGGGGTACTCCTACAAAGTGAAGCTAAGTTGTCTCTAGTACAAGTAAAACTCCCACCCGTTGAACGGTTTGCCTACTTGAGGATGTGTTTTTAAGGGCACGGATAGAGCTTCCGACCCCCCTTAATTTCATTGACCCTCCACACGAGTTGAGGAAAAGGAGTTAAAAGAAGTACTCTGGCGACCGCTAGATGTACAGAAATTGCTCTTGCTCGACTAATAAGGGTCGACCATGCAAAAGAATGCAGTTGGAACCCCCGGTAAGTGAATGAGAAAGAAAAAAAAGTAAAATGAAAGTGAAAAAGGGGTTCCAACGGTGAAATGAAGTGAAAGAGCACCCCCAGTACAACGAGTCCTTGGTTATGAATGGTGTGAGTCCCTTTATCCATGAACTGACCATCTTACTTCTACTTCTTCTCATGATCCTGGCTTGAGTCTAGTACTCGCATTGAGAGAGATAGGGGATGTCTTAGAAGACCAGTTGACCTCGTAAGCTGCTTTATGATCTAGAAAGTCCTCTACCGAGGATCGGGGATGTTTGTTGCTATAGAGGTCTGGAGAGTTGCATTGGTTTGAGTCAGATTGGCTTGGGGACAAGCAAAGTAGTTAAGTGTGGGGGGATTTGATGACTCGATATTTGCACATGTTTTCCCCTTTGTTTCTTGACTGTTTGAGCTTTAATTATCGCGTCTTTGGCCTATTTTACGCTAAGTTGTGTTCCTTTGTCACATTTCAGGTCCTATATCACATAAAGTGAAGCATAGTCGCAAGTTTCAAATCAACCACATATCAATTGGCGATTAGGGAGAAGAAACTCAGGCATGACCTGAAGAAGAATGGATTTCTACCTCACTTTATGGACAAAGAATCATGCAAGCTTGTCATGAAAAGAAATAGGACGAGACTACAAGTGTCTGGGATCAAACGGCAACTGATTCGGAGTCCGGACGAGGGAGAAACGAAGCATTGAATATAGTGGAACAAGTTCGGCAGTAAAAACACGGTCGTGTCCATATTTAGGCACAACCGTGTTTTGGCCGATGAGGGATGCTGGGGGAAAAACACGGGCGGGAAAAAGTAAAACACGGCCGTGTCCTCGACCGTGTTTTGCCCAGAATCGGGTTTTTGAGGCAGATTGAAGCCAAAGGAAAGGGAGAGCTGGGTTTTGGATCCCAAACACCCAAGGGACGAACCAAAGAGAGAGAGGGCGATTTGAGGGCATTCTAAGAGTGGAATTGGAGGATTTCTTTGCCTTGGAAGCTCGAGGAACAAGCCCGGACTTGAATACTGATCATCTGAAGATTCTTACTGCACTCTCTCTCTTCTCTATGGAGCTTCCCTTCACTTAGGTTTTGAGGAACCCTAGCTATGTTTGTTTGATTGGATGATTGTATGAGTACTCTTACTTGATAATCTTGATTTCATATTCAATCTATGCACGTTTTCATGATTCAATTCTGCTTTAGTCGAGATTATTGATTCTGCGTTGATCCTATGAGAGCGAATACCTGATTAGGTCAATAGAGCACCATAGATTGACAGTATTGGATCGATTGCCTTAGTCGAGGGTTGATTCACTGCTTTGTATCGATTGAGAACCTCTTTCGATAGAGGGAGTCTAGTTCAGAACGCCTTGATTGGTTGTTCTGGAGAAGGATACGTCCCTCTAGGCAATTGACTCAATAGGGTCTTGTTCCTTTAGTCGAGACTCAAGGTCTAGTCAAGGATTCTCTGCATTGTGAATGAAACTGAAACAGGTTAGAGATCATCAATCATTAATCTGGCTAGTGGCTAGGGGGAATCATACCTAAGTGAGTTCCCAACCTGTAATTAGATTAACTTTAACTGTAGTTTGTTAGAGTAGTTTTAGTTCTTCCATCTTAATCTGGTTTGCTAGATAATGAACTGAAGCTGAGTAATAGTAACTCTAGAGACCCGTGGATTCGATATTTATTACTTGAGTCACTATACTGCAGTCACTTTCATTGGTTACACTTGGCCATTGTTAGGTGTTGTGTTTTAGCGAGTCAGTGACACCAGTCTTGTAAATAAACAAAGATGGATCAGTGTGTGAAACTGAGAAGCCAAACTGAGAGAGAGCAGCGGCAAGACATTGGAACCACGTTCTGGGTGCCTGTCGAAGTCCATATATCGATTTCCGAAGTCGACAAACATGATCCGGCTTGTCGGGATCAACGAAACCAGGCGGCTGCTGCATATAGATAGGTTCCTGTAACTCACCATGAAGAAAGGCGTTAGCAATATCAATTTGATGGAGAGGCCAATCCTGGGTAACGGCCAGACCGAGAATCAGACGAAGAGTAGCCGGCTTCAGAACCGGGCTATAAGTCTGCTGAAAATCGAGACCCGGAATCTGTTCAAAGCCACGCGCGACGAGACGAGCCCGTCGTCGATCGAGTTTGCCGTCTGGATGAAGCTTGGTTCTATAAACCCATTTGTTGGAGAGGATATTGCAGTTGGGTGGAGGAGGGACCAAGTCCCATGTATGATTCAGTAGCTGGGCAGTAACCTCGTCGGCCATGGCCGAGCGCCAGTAGGGATGTTTGAGGGCCTGTGTCACAGTAGTGGGCGTGTCATCAAGATGCAGGTTAGAGAGAAGGCTACGAGGTTTGAGATTTCCCGTTTTTATGCGAGTGACCATAGGGTGAGCAGAGGTAGTGGGATTGGTAATGGGAATCAGGCGAGGTGAAGTGGTGAATGGAGGGAGATTGAGAATGGGGCGGCAATGAGGCATGGGAGTGGAAGGACGTGGGACAGGAGAAGATTGTTGTTGAGGAAGAGTGGGAATGGGGGTATTGGGCGATGACGGAATGTTGGAGGAAGGGACAGGTCATCGGCGTTGGTATTGAAGAAGAGGTCGGGGAGGATTTGGTAGCGGCGGAGGATTGGATGGGGAAGAGGATGATGGCAAAGGGGAGCTGGGTGGGGGCGCACGAGGGGATGGGCTAGGTGATAGGGGTGGGAATTCGGCCGGTTCGGTTTCGACCGAACCGAAATTATGAATACCGGGTCCCCGAATTCTCCCAAACCTCAAACAGAAGTCGAACCGAATTATAATTCAGTTCGGTCGGTTTAAACCGAATTATAATTCGGTTCGGTTCGGTTTTTCACACAAAATCAAATTAGTGAAGCTACTTGTATTTTCTCACTTTTAAATTATTTTTCACCCCTAATATAAACAATAAATATCAATTATATGCATCATCAATGATAAAACCAAACTTTTCAACACATAAGTCTTAAAACATTTCAAATATTTAAGTCTAAAAACAACTACAAACATAAAAATCCATCATTTGGAGCTTGCAATTATAGTATTTTGGTTTTTCGGTCGGAAATTCGGTTCAGTTGAAAGAGCCCTGATTTCTGAACTATCCATATTTTCCTTCCGAATTCCGAACCGAATAACATTAATTCGGTTTCGGTTCGGTTTAATTCGGTTTCAGTTCGATTCGGTTTGTGTTTACCGAACCGTTTGCCCACTCCTACTAGGTGAGAGGGATTTAGTGGGCTGGGAAATGGGATTGGGCTGGGAAATGTTAGCAGGCTGGGAGGAAGGTGGGCCTGGAGTGGTGGAGTTAGAAGGAGGTGGAAGAAGTGGATCGGGCTGGGGTGCTAAAATGGGCCGAGGGGAATTGGATGGCGTGGGTGAGGGTAATCGAGTGGGCTGGGATGTTAGGGGTATAGGAGAAGCATATGGGGAAGAGGAGAGTAGTTCGGAAAATGGGAAACGATCCTCTTCAAACAAAACATGGCGGCTCATATATAGTCGACCAGTGGAAATATGAAGTCAACGGTAACCCTTGTGAAGTTTGCTATAACCAAGAAAAACACATGGGAAAGAACGAGGAGCAAGTTTGTTTGGTGCGAGTGGGCGAAGCCATGGATAGCAAAGACAACCGAAAACACGAAGATTGGAGAGATCAGGAGCACGGTGAAAAAGGAAGTGAAAAGAAGAATAATTGTGAAGAAGAGGTGTAGATGTGCGATTAATGAGATAACAGGCAGTATCAAAAGCAAGGGTCCAATATTTTTGTGGGACATTTGAGTGATGAAGAAGAGCAAGACCGTTATTGACTATGTGCCGATGTTTGCATTCAACACAACCATTCTGTTCAGGAGTGTAGGGACATGAAGAGCGATGAGCAATACCATGTTTAGAGAGATAGGTAGACAGAGCTTGATATTCGCCCCCCCCCCCCCCCCCCCCCCCCCCCCCCCCCCCCCCCCCCCCAATTAGATTGGAAAGTTTTAATGGGGAGGCCAAAATATTTTTCTACCAATTGACGAAATTGGATGAAAACATTAAGCAACTGAGATTTATAACGAATGAAATAAATCCATGAGAATTTGCTATAATGATCTTAGAACAAAATGTAATAGGATTGCTTATCGTAAGACAAAACAGGAGCAGGGCCCCATACATCACTACAAACGAGTTCAAGGGGAGCAGTTGCTTGAAAAGAGGAGGAAGAAAACGGAAGCTTGTGGATTTTACTAACGGCACAACCATGACACAAAGAGGAAGGAGAAGAAATAAACTTTATTTGAAGCTGATGAAGAGCGTGCTTGACGGCCCTCTCATTAGCGTGACCAAGACGACGATGCCAAACGTCAAAAGAAGCCGCACAAGCAATGGGAGGAAGATGACGGGAAATATGCAGTGGAAGGGAGTAGAGACTGTCCACCGCATAACCTCGATGAAGTTCATGGCCCGTGCGTCGATCCTTGATGAGAAAAAGAGAATAAAAAAATTCAATGGAAATAGGATTAGATCGAGTGAGAGAGCTGATAGAGAGCAAATTATACGGAGCATTGCGAACATGAAGAATGTTATCCAAGGAAATGGAAGTGTTTGACAACGAAGTGGAGGAGGAACCAAAATTAGAGATGGGAAGCGAGTTACTGTTGCCGAAGGTGACCTGATCAGTGCCATTATATTCAGAATGATGAGCAAGGTTGTCTAAACCCGAGGTAAGATGATGGTTGGTGCTAGAATCGAGAAGCCACCATTGTGGATTAAAGGACTGTGCAAGAGAGGAGGAGAATAGGGTATGTGGGTTGTAGGGAGGGGCTGAATTATATTGTGGGGCTGACTGGGCATATTTGTTGGGTTGTTGCTGAAATGGGCTTGGGCAGTGGGACTTAACGTGGCCACGCCCACCACAGTTGTGGCACACAATAGGACTAGTGGGCCGAGGCCCAAGAACACCACCACCCATGTTGCTCGACCTGCCAACAGAAGGAACAAAATATTGGGGTTAGAATAAAAGCAGCCGCCGCCGCGAGAGAAACCTTGACCACGCCCACGTCCGCCTCTGCCGCGGAATCCACCGGCGTTGGAATAGAAAGCAGCAGGGGAAGGAGAATCCGAACGAGAAGAGAATAGATGGATCTGAAGCTCTTCGCTGAAGAGCAAGGAGTGGAGATCTTCGAAACTGATTGGGGCCATCCGTGCTTCAATATGGCGGACGAATGGTCGATAATCCTCACCCAATCCGTCAAGAATCCAGCCAGTAAGATTTTCGTTGGAGACGGGAGAGCCCAGGGCAGCAAACTGATCAGCTTTGGCTTTGGCATCCTGTAAATAATCATGGATTGTGGCATCACCACGCCGGATGTGTCGAAGTGTCTTGGTGAGCTGCCGAATCTGGACGCGAGAACCAGAGGCGTAGATGGTAGCCAACGCCGTCCACGCCTGAAGAGCAGTTGTCTTGTTGATGACGTTCGGGAGTACGGCTTCAGAAAGGGATAGATTAATCCAGGTAAGCACGTACTGGTCACGATCATACCAGGTCTAGTACACCGGATTGGGTTGGCCATTGACAAGTTGCGGTGGAGCAGGGAGAGTGCCGTCAACATGACCCATCAAACGATAACATCGCAGAAGAGGGGTTATTTGAGTGTGCCATAGCAGGTAATTGGTCGGCGTAAGTTTGACGGTCAGTTGTGGGTTGATAGGGAGAGACAGTGTGGACACTAGAATGGAAGCATATCCGACAGATGGAGCAGTGGAAGAAACGGAGGAAGACTCTATTGCCATTGTTGTTGGTAGAGAAAGAAGAAGAAAGGAAGAAGAAAGAGACGAAAAGAAAAGGTAATTTGACTCGTTAGAGTGCTATGGCTCTGATACCATGAAAGACTCAAAGCTTGAGTTTCTATTATTGATTCAACATATTTATATTACACAACAACAGAGAGTACAACGAATGAATAGCAACAAAAGGAGTGAAATAAGGAACAGAAAGAAGTGGCCAACGTTCCACTACTAACAGCTAACAGCAAAGGAGAAACTTAGGGACCAAGTCCCTTGACCAAGTCCCTTATCAGCTTGTACTTAAATTGGATGAGCTCGGCTTAGAAATAGCTCGAATAGCTCTACGAGCTGCTATGGCTTTAATAGCTAATTAATTCCATTGCTTCTCTTGTTGATAGAGCATTTATTGGTCGAATAGGTATGATCTTCAACGAAACAGACCCTTGCTCAATTTTGGCAACTCTAAGAAGAAATGAAAAATAGGGTTTTGGGGAAGGGATCTCAAAGTGAGAGAGCCTTCGTTTTCTGCATTTGCTATTTATACTGTCAAAACCAATTACAGAGTAAAGGAAAGTTAACGGCTAATCTACAGTATAAACAGAAAACTAACAATTAATCTAACCAACCAAAACTGTACACGTGGTAGCCTAATGACTATTTACTCGACCAAAGTGGAACGCTGCGTTCTGTAAGACAAAGTCTAAACATTGACTTCGAATGGATGGAGAACGACAACGTTCCAGGCAGTGATCAGGACAGTCAGCAGCAGCTTCATCGCATTCCTGGAAGACTGAAGAACAAGCTGTTGCTAGTCATTGTCTGAGTTTGATGTGTTCTTCATTACGCCCCCTCAAGCTGGCGAGTGTCATCTGATACTCCCAGCTTGCGCAACAATATCTTGAACCTATCAATTCCCATACTTTTGGTAAGCAGATCTGCAAGTTGATCATGAGTAGGCAAATGATGCAAACCAATCAAACCACTCAACATACGTTCCCTTATAACGTGACATTCTACTTCTATGTGCTTGGTTCTCTCGTGGAAAACTCAATTTCGTGCTATGTGAATAGCAGACTGGTTATCACAGAACACCAAAGTTGAATGAGAATGATCAACTCCAAAATCTCTAAGCAACCTCACCAACCATTGAAGTTCACAACTTAGTTGTGACATAGCCCTGTATTATGCTTCTAAAGATGACCTTGATACTGTACTTTGCTTCTTGCTTCTCCAACTGATAAGTCCTTTGCCCAGGAAAGTGCAAAAACCAGTAATTGATCTTCTCGTATCTGGGCATGTGGCCCAGTCTGATCACTATATCCAGTCAATTGCATACTGGAGTTGTGTGGATAAAACAATCCCTGGCCTGGGGCATTTTTAAGATAACGAAAAACTCTTTGCAAGGCTTTGAAATGGGTTGTGGTTGGTGAATCCTGGTACTGACATAGCTGTTGAACAGCATATGTAATATATGGGTAGGTTGTATTCAAATATTGCAACTGACCAAGCCAATGCTTGAATTTACTTACATCATGAAAGGGCTCTCCATCTTGAGCTGACAAGACTTGTTTAACACTGGAAGGAGTTTTTGGTGGCTTGCATTCATCAAAGCATGTGTCCTTCAATAGCTCAAGGCAATACTTTCTTTGGCTAACATGTATACCACCATCAACTCTGTTTACTTCCAGGCCAAGAAAATATTGCAAGTTACCCAAATCCTTCATCTTAAATTCTTACTTCAGCATCTCCTTAACTGTCTTTACTGCTTCCAAATTGATACTTCCAATGACAATGTCATCAACATATACAATCAAGAAAACCAATGAATTCTTCACATTAGAAAGAAATATAGAGCAATCTACACTGGACTGCTTGAAACCATGTGAAAGCAAA